TTTTAAATAAATGTGATTAGTTAAATCATTATTTTATTTGCTATTAGCTAAGGATTCATGGTTTAATTCATAGTTTAAGACCAGACGAATTCACACTTGAGAGACTGAGCTAGACTTTGGTAGTCTTTTCGTTACACATTGGCGCCCAACGTGGGGCCCGAGCTTTGATGCATGAGTGTTTATAAATTAGTGTATGACAACATAAAAACACAAGGGCACAAAAACAATCAGACTCTCTCATTAGTAGAACGATATGGAAGAGAATATTATTTTTATCAAATAAAAAACAGTGTTTCCCTATGATGGCAAATGCAGTATAAATGACGAAAATTACAGAATACTGAAAAATTGACAATAAACGATACTATGATGGTGGACCAGAAAATAATGTATTTAAGAAAACAGCAAGTTCACGTTAGTCTCGTGCAACTCAAACTGTACAATTTTCATCATTAGTTACAGTTAATGTCACATTCATCATATTTCCGAGATCGAATTCTCACCAGTTATCCTCTGTTTCCTTTGTTATCATATTTAACAACGTTGTGGGCCCTTTTGAGACCCCAGCACCATATTTTCAACCTACAGTTGAATAATAATAATTATTATTATTATTATATGACAAATAAGGGCAGAGGAGCGAACTCCTGTTATGATCAAAAAGCAAAAAAATCCTTATAAAACTAATATCAATTATAGAGTTAAGTGAAGTTAAACAATTAAGTACATCATACAAAAATTGTGAAACAATAAATAAATAATGCGGTCTGAAAATAACACAATCCTTTAAATAAAATAAGGCACTATCAAGTTTGTCTTTAAACATGTTAACACTAGCTCCGATATGGTGTCTTGATCCAAATTGTTCCGAATATTAAATATTAGAAGTTCACACCTTGCAGTAGTTTATTCCCTCTTTAATTTGTAACGATGGCCTCTTAATCTTTCGTCTTGATTTAAAGTGAATATGGTACTTAAGGATCCAAAATTATGTTTTAAAATACGGAAGGACATAATTAGGTCACCTCGAAGACGTCGCTGCTCGAATGTCGGTAAGATGAGCCATGAATAGTATATCTTCAAAGTTACGTCTTACACGACCGTATGCCAGTCTTGTGGCTTTACGCTGAACATTTTCAAGTAGGATTTTACCGCAACTGAAATCTGGATTCCATACTGGCCCGGCAAACTCAAGAATAGGTCTAACGTATATTAAGTAAAGTTTACTAACAGACGTTAGACATATATAAGAGGGCACCTGTCAGTAGCAAATGAAAACTGCTCTCCCAGATAAGGTCTAACTATAGGAAATAGGAAACAGGACAAACATAAGGTGGAGACATGTTGTAGGCAGAGCTGCGAGGAGTAAACGCGCAGGAATTGACCACGGCTCGCAAAGCACACGAGCGACTAGTGAAACAATATAGGTAGTTAAGCCTTAACCAAAGTCCATATAGAAATATAAAATATTATTCCAAAGTATTTACGCAAATAAAAACTAGTCACAATACCTGATTCAGAAAAGAATACATAGACATTTTTAGTAATCTACCTTCGGCAAATTTCACTCAAAATAATGTCCTTTATTATGTATATCTAGTATGTATTCATTGAAAAGATACGCTGCTTAAATATTAACAATAACAAATTCGTTTATTGTTGTTCTTTTGTTATCAGCCATCTTTGTATTGCAAACGTCCAAAAAGTGACGAAAATAGAATTTATCATACAGTCCGATTTCAACAAAGGTTTTGTTAGAGATTACAAAAACATGAATCCCTGGTTGCCAAAATTCTCCAGACAAATAAGTAAAAGTTATATTTAGACTTTTACCAGAACCGGACTAAATATTTTTCATTTATAAAAACAAAAAACTCTAATTTTGATTAATTTAAAATAACTGTCTTTTTTATATCATCACTCACATGTCTTCATTTTGCCTGATTTGGTGCTAAATTCAGAGTATAACTTTTTACAAGTATTTTCTTTGCCAAATGACAATAATTCATGAAAGGGCAACTGATTTCAGGAATTTCGGATGAAAAGAGAAAGTATAAAGGAACAGAGAGTCATTCAGAGACATGGCATCGATTTTTTCTCCTCATTTTACTCGTCAATTTTCAAATTTCCCTTAAATATTGCCTCCTCCAAAAATAATTTCTTCTTTCTCTATGAGCGCAGTTTTCTATTGTTATTCGCACAAACGAATCATAACTCACGTAAAGGTTTCCATAATTTATCTCTGTTAATGTTTGGCAAAGATTCGTCTTCATTATTGTCTACTAAAAGTTTATCCAAAGTAGAAATCTTTTTTTTGTAAATAAATTGATTGAACTTTTCTTCGAATCGATTGTTTCACAGTATTGTTTATATGAATGGGTTGTCTCCCTGTTAACGTTTTAGGTGCTTCTGGTATACTGCCACTCTTTCGTTGCTTTAAAAGTCTATAAATAGTTGCTTCTCTATTTAACACTAAAGTTTTCATTGGCACGGTTCAAGGCCATCGAGTACAATAAACCAACATATCTATGTTTTATAGACCTGACAAAGGCTTTCGATCGCATCCAAGTCGAAGACGTCTTACACCTACTGTAAAAAAAAGAAACATACCAATTACTATTTATTTCTTTATTCTTTTTTACCTATTTGAAATGAACTCATACAAGCAACACATTCATGATTTAATAAGAAAGGTTTCATAGGCAAAAAAATATTTTTCTCACTTTTTATGATATTAAAAAACAAAGCAAAATTAGCTGTCATTCTTAAAGAATTTGCCATCGCCTATACCTCATATAGCTTTTAGAATTTTCAAAAACCTGTAGATATTTTTACGTGAAATCACTGATTTTTTCACATATACACTGGGGTAAATTGTCACTGATAATTTGTAACAGAAGATATTACATAGCATGTATTAAACGTCTCGTCCCACCAATATACTATCCTAATATTTTAATAAGTAAGTACAAAGAAGGCGGAGTGTTGTTTCTTACTAATTAGGTTTTAAACACTTCGTTTTTATTTTACGATTTGTCCACAAAGTATAAGAAACATCCAACTGTATGATTCACCAAGAATTTATTGGATATGATCGTTTGGAAGGTTGGGCCTGTATATATTCTACCTTTTTTAACAGTTGAATCATAATAAATATGAAATTAAGAAGTAAACTTAGCAAAAAGTGTAACAAAATTATGATAATGATTAGGTCAAACCTATATCGTCGACAAAAACAAATTATTTGTGATGTTTGTAAAAAAATCTAAAAGAACCTCTATTTTTTAACAAAACGCTTAACACAATTACAAATATTAGCAATAATTGAACTTGTTAACGTCTAAAACAGAACACTATTAATTAAATTTTCGACAATTGTATCTAGCAAATAACGCAAGCGTAGCAGTGAAATTTTCTCCGCGTGTCAAGTCGTGTCGGACGAAATTTCATCTAATGAAAAGTGGACAAGAGCCAGCGATTAGATATCTGCATCTAACAGCTACGAATTATGTGGACTAGCAGTAAGTGCCAGAGCAACAGGTAATCTATTTAATAGACAGACATGGCGAAAATATAATTATTTAGTGGTAGGCCAGGTATTGTTTCAGTATGAAGATTTTTGTGTCATGCCATAAATTTAATGACCAAGTTTTGTCAAACATTATTGGGAATATTTGTGAAAACACTGTGGTGTAAGAATAGGGTGGGCAATACTAAGAAAATGCAGTTTTGTTTAAGACTATCAGTACAAAGCCATAAAAAAAGTAATTTAAGAAGACCATTGTTATCTCTATGAGTCCTTCTTTGCTCTACTCGGCCTTCATGTCACTTTTCTTCTTCTTCTTCTTCTTTTTATGTAGACATGACTCTGTTCCATCGTTTATGTGGTCTTCCTACTGATAGTCTTCCTATTGGGGAACCGTCTCTTTCCGTCTTTACTACTCTATTTGATGTTATTCAGCTTATATGATCGTTCCATTCTTCTTCTAATTGTGCCTATCTTCTAGAGATGTTGGTGTCCACATTGAGACATCTTATTCTATTTAGCAGCTTGAAATAGATCAGTTGATGTTCTTCTTCTCCTTTGAGTGCCTCTCCTATCGGAGATTGAATATCATTATGTCGATTCTAATTTTATTAACTGCTGTTTTGAATACAGTTGACGTTAGACCAGTCCATTTCCTAAGATTGGCCAGTCAGGATATACGTCTACGTCCAGGGCCTCTCTTACCCTCAATCTTGTCCTGTAGAATCAACTGTAGAAGTCAGTATTTATCATTACGCATGATGTAGCCGAAGTAAGTCAATTTTCTGTTTTTTTATGGTGTTAATAATTTCTTTGCCTTTTCTTAGCCTCTGGAGAATAGTTATGTTACTTGTGTGTTGTATATATGAGATCCTCAACATACATTGGTAGTACCACATTTCAAATGCCTCCAATCGTTTTATGGCATCTTCTGTAAAGCTCCAGCTTTCTACTCCATTGAGGTAACTAAAGACGTAACATCTAAGAATTCTTATGCGTATATTGATACTTAAAGATAAATTGCAAAGAATCTTCCTAAGGCTGTTAAAAGAGCTTATGGCTTTTTCAATACAAGTTTTTATTCTGTAGCTGTGATCTCAAATATTCTTAATATTGCTATAAAAAACTATAATCATAATAAATGCTTAATAATAAACTATAATCTATGTTTTTCACATTTTCTAGCGTTGGCTTTTTTAGGAAGTGGAATGAGTATTGATATAGCAGTCTTTGGTAGTACCAGTCTCGTAGATGTTATTGAATAGCTTCGTAAAAGCTGTGATTCGGTGTGACTCAAATAGCTTTAAGATCTCACCATGCACCTCATCAGGTTCTGGTGATTTCCCATCTTTAATCCGCTTAATGGCCCCAGTTACTTATTCGTTTGTAACAAACGTGCTAATGCTTCGTGTTGTGTTCGATATGTAAGAAATTATGGGTATGGAACCCAACCAGATATACTGGCTTTATATACCTCAGGCTCAATGGAAGTCATACTTGATCTCCCTCCATTACACATATGGATGGAGCAGAAGGCGAAAGAAAATGCATACAGAAGAAGTATAAGACGCATAGAAGCAGAGCAAATGGATACCGGAACCAAATCTGCAGAGATAACAAAAAATCATCTAAAGGTGGAAATGGTACTAGATATAATGCAACCTAAATACAATTTTAAAAGCCGTTTACCGTCCACTTTCAGGAAGAAATTGGAAGTCAAATAAAACTCCCTAGAAGCCGTTACAGATCCGAAAAATTTATGAGCTAGTTGAAAGCGGTGTAGTCTAGTGGTTAAAGAAACATAGGTAATAGATAAGTACAAAACTGTAGACACGATGGGCTAGTCACATGCATAGAGCGGGATAGGAAAAAATCATCAAGAAATTATTTCTGGGTGACCCGGAAGGAAGAAGGAGTAAATAAAGGAAGACCCCAACTTACATAGATAGACAAGATAGCAAGATGATCTAAGAAGAATCCGATACTGCGGCAACGAGGTAACAACAGGGAACAATGGAGAAATGTCGTGAATCGGGCCGAGACTATTTCAGGGCTGTAGCTTCACAACGAGGATGAGAAGCAGTGCAAATTTAGATTCAAAGTGAGTGTTTACCAACAGTACTCTACTCATAATGAAATACTGCATACCAATTTCTCCTCGTGATGGACACAACAACTATATCAGCGTCAGTTCTCGGAAGCTTCAATGTTCCTGACCAAGGTTATTGTTAAAATATAGTTAAGAAAAAGGTATTAAGATCAAGCGACATCGAAGACCGATAAATACATGTATATGCGTAAAAGGTAGAATCCCTGTCATGAAAAACAACGATGATAGAGCTAAAGGAAGAGTTAAAACCGATCCAATGATATAATATATAAATGGTATAAGTAAGGTAGTTTACTCCGTTAATTGATTAGAATTTTCAATTTTCAATATTCAAATATAGTCTAAGCTTATTACACCTTTTAGCATAATTTGCCTTCATAATAAGCTAAAATAACCTGTACTATATATAACAGACAATATCCAAAAGTCCAAAGAGAGGAATCGATATTGTACGTTCCGCCGCGACCGCACGTACTTCTTTGATTCCTTTTCAGTCTGCAGAAGTACATTTCAGACGTTATTCGCTTCACATAAAAAAAGTTACATCTGTATCATATCTCAATTAAAGAAGTAACTTCTAACGAGTTCAGTTTTAGGTAAGAGTTTTGGATAATATTGGAATAGAAGTTTCTTTAGACAGTCAGTTGTGAAAAAAATTGTGACTGATCTCAAAAAGAAAAAAATCAAGACATGTAAAAATACACAAAATGTATAAAGAAATTGGCAAATACAGATTTTTTTTGGGTTTTCCTTAATTTTATTCAGTGTTCTCGCATATTTTATATAATGTTTGTCGCTATTATTAGTACAAAACTAAAAATACTGCATGTTAGGTTTAAAGGGCTACACAGACAGAAATATAAATATTAACTGAAATAATTAACAATATTTTTCTTTATGTGCCATCTTCTACCGAAGGTTGGCAACCATCACACGATAGCTTTCTCTGTTTTATCTTCAATCTTGCCTTCCACGATAAGCTGTAGCAGACTGTACTTATCATTACGGAACACATGGCCCAGGTATGACGCTTTCCTCCTTTTAACAGTTGTTAACAATTCTACCTCTTTATACATTCGTCTTAACACCTCTGTGTTGGTCACTCTGTCTGACCAAGGTATTCTCAGTATGCGACGATACAGCCACATTTCTAGACCCGCTAACTTTTCTATTTTCCCTCCTTTTGTCCATAAGGTGTAATATTTCATCGGTCATCCATTAGTTCTTCTTTATCCGCTCGTAGTTACCAATTACTTCTTTCGAACCGTTGCATATAGCGTCCCTTAAGTTGATCCAGTTTTTTTCAATATCATCAGTATTGGTTGTTAAAGCAACATTACTATTATAATGCTATTTATCTCGGGATTTCTAAGTTGATCCATATCTAATCTTTTGTTATTCTGTTTCTGGATTAAGGTTTTTAGTCTGACTCGTAATTGGGCTACAAGAGGATTATGATCAGAGTTTATATCAGCTCCAGGATATGTTTTGGCTGATATTATTGCGTTACGGAATCGTTTGTTAATTGTTATGAAGTCTATCTGATTTCTAACGATGTACCCAGTCCTGTCCTGTGGTGACCTCCAAGTGTACAATCTTCTTAATGGTAACTTAAACCAAGTATTAGTGATAATTAAGTTTTTATCCTGGCAAAACTGTATTAGTCGATCACCTCGCTCATTTCTTGTTCCCAACTCATACTTGTCAACTACTTCACTGACTTTTCCTACTTTAGAGTTAAAATCCCCCATTACCATGGTTATGTCTTGTTTCTTTAGTTTTTTTATGATTTCGTCTAATTGTTCGTAAAACTCTTCAACTTCTTCATCAGTTCTCTCAGATATGGGAGCATAAACCTGAATTATATTTATGTCTAGAGGGTTTGAGAGTATTAACAATGAGAAATTTAATTCGTTTTACGCAACTTTCGCAATCATAATAATTTATACCTGAATAGTTTATGTAGATATGTAGGTTATTGGTTTATTAAAAATAAAATAACCTTAATGATTACCAGCTATGTCTTAAGAACTGTTGTATCAATCACTTTCAAATGGAGTATACAAATAATTGAACCAATTGGAAATACATCGACAATAGATACGCCACTGTAATTCAACTTCAATATACACAACGGAAATGATCACACAATTGTATAAAAACTCCATAAACAAACCAACAATAAGTCTTAAATTTCCAAAGCGTGTGTTGTTCCTTATAAATCACGACATAAAGGAGGCTGTAAAATGCCACCAGAGACACCATCTTAATCAAGTACCCATTGTGTGGGACGATCTTGGTTTATTTACAATTTTATGGTACCCACCTCACCCATAAGACTTGATCTGACATTATCTGATATCGTTCGGTTCAAGGAATTTGTTGTAAAGAAGATTATGCTTGAGTTTATCGGTAAATCAATAGCAAAAATTAACTAATTCTTCATAAAGAAATAACAGCGCCATAAAAAAAGTAATCACACTGTTGAATAATAGCAATTGATTCCGAAATAATAGTTATAGTTCCCGTCCGCAAAAAAGGTCATGATAGCTACTCTCTCCAAACTTTGGTTATTGCTTAATTAGGCCTAGTTAAAGACGACTTTTTTTTTGTTCTGGGGCATTTTCCCCCTAATTTTCCCAAAAATGTTCCCTCAGAATCAAGTATTCCTCAGGCAATATGAAAAGTTATTTCTAACATTTTCTGTAGCAAATACAGCGATTTTTGCGATGAAATAAAAACTAAAGAAATAAATTTCACTAAGCCTACTCTGCGGTAGTGTCATTTTCAGTATTGACGAGCGTTCCCAGGTATACAAATCCGTTCACTGCTTCGATGAAGTCGTTTTCTATAACAAGTGGTCGTAGTATTTGTGGTTGCGTGCTTATTTTCATATACTTCGTTTTGTTGGTGTTTATTATTAAACCCATTTTTGTAGCTAATTCTTTTAATGCTACCTACGCCTCTTGTACAGCGTTTTCCGTTCTCCCAACAATATTGATACCACCAGTATAGGCCAGAATTTGCACTGATTTATTTATATCGAACCAGTGGTTGTGATTTTTGACATACGCATTACTTTTTCCAGAGCCAGATTGAACAGTATACAGGAGTGAGGGTCTCCCTGGTGCAGCCCGTTATTTGTTTTAAAAGGTTCAGAAAGATCCCCCTGAATTCATACTCTACATTCAACTTTTTCAAGAGTCAGTTTTGTTAAATTTACCAACTGATTTGGTATTCCTGGCTCTTTCATTGTTTTGAACATTTCTCTTCTATTCACAGAGTCGTAGGCTGCTTTATAGTCTATAAATATGTGATGAGTATCAATGCTATAGTCCAGTGTTTTTTACAAAATTTGTTTCAGGGTTGCAAGTTGCAATCTATTATTTATTTATTTATCGTATGGCAATTACAATACATTTAGAACAAAATTACAAACACTAGTAATATATGTGTATGACAAACTTTAAATAGTTACAAGCAAACATCAAGTGTATTAATATAATCAATTGACTCTGAAGTTGCAAACAGGAAGTCTTCAGGGCTACCATTTTAGGATCTTGAGGGACACTCTTCAATAATGTGGTCGATCGTTTGGTTCTCCCTACAGTCACATTGATGAGACGGATTCTTTCCCCATTTATGTAGCATGTATGCACATCTGCCATGTCTGGTTCGGATTCTATTTAGAGTGGACCATGTTTTACGTGGAAGATCAAAACCTGGTGGCTTGTGGGTAATGCAGGCCATGTTATTTTGCCATGCGTTCCATTCTTGGGACCATGCATTCGTGATGTTGAACTCCTCATGTATCATTCTTGCCGTTTTCATTGGTGGTTTTCTAGAACGTAGACGGGTATTTCGTGCATCCTCGGTATCTTGGTGGATCGGCAGGTTTATATTGTTCATGATCTTTTTGTATTCACGTGTAAGTGCGTCAACTCGTCGTAAATGTGGAGGTGGGATGTGACCTAATATTGGAAGCCATTGGGTTTGAGTTGATTTAATTGTATGTACCAGCTATCATCCTCATAGTGCTGTGCAGCTGAGTCTCGACCTTTTTTACGTGTGGACTGTGTAGCCAAACTAAAGCACAATATTCAGCAGTCGAGAAAACAAGGGCTAAGGCAGTAGAGCGAAGAGTGGAAGCCGATGCTCCCCAGGTGGTACTGCAGAGTTTCTGTATCTGTATGCAATCTGTTGAATTGTCGATTTACCACCTCTGAAACTAGTCTGGAATTTTCCTACTATCCGTTCTGCATATGATGCCATACGATGACATAGTACTGTGGAAAATATTTTATACGCTACATTTAGAAGCGTAATCCACAGCAAGTCCACATTTCTTTTATAAGCTGCTGTAATACTATTATGGTATCATGGCC